CCCTCGCCCCTCACCGCCCTGACCGATTCCGCTAAGCATCTCGTTCTGACGAATCAGCTGTTCGTCAAAGATGAAGTGAGGTATCGAGCAGGTGAATGAGCTCACGGCGAAGAGGATCATGCCCCAGGCTATCCACTTAGGCCGGTGGCCTTGGCCGCCGTAATATGTCAATAACAGCGAAGATCCGATCTGACCAATCTCCGTGGCCGACATGATAATGCCTGTCGTCTTCGACTGTATTTGGAAGAGCTTCTCTATGGTGGTAATAACCGAAACGAAGTACGTGTAGTACATACCCTGAAGCACCTGTACATAAACAGAATCCAATGAAATAAGCATGACATCAGCTTGCTGTGAAGAATAAATTTATTGTTATAAATAAATCCCGTGCGAACAAATCTCGTGAAAGAAATTTGAAAGATACTTCTTGCCTGAATCTTGACTAAAAATTATCCTAATTAATCATTTAGTATCATCTTTTAAAATTGACATGTACGTATGTATAAATATTATCTTTTCTACTTCGCTATTTAATCTACGCGTCTGTTCACTCAATGCAGTGTGTGAAGTTTCTTAAATTATAAATGTATTTATTTAAAAAAATAGAAAAACCGCTTTTTCGGCGTACTGACCCAGGCGAGACAGAAGATCACCAGGAAGGCTTGCTTCGTAGCAAAGCACTGCAGCCAGTGGGGCCTGCAAGGACCCCAGCCACAGGACACATCGGCGTCGTCGAACTCCGTGTGAAGGCTGTTCGATCGCTCGTCCGGCACGATTTCTGCTCGAATGTTCATTACGAGCTTGCCGTTCTCCGTGCCGCCGATCCCGCCGTGCAGCTTCCCATTCGGTATCGAGCCGTTGTTGTTGTGCTGCTTATCGCCGCAAATTAACCCGTTTCCGTTCGCCATCTTCGGCGGAATAATCGTGAGTGCCTCCACGTTGCCGTTCGACAGTATCTGCGTGTCTTCACCCGCCATTATTCCAACTCGCTCTTCCGTGCGCGATGCGATACTCACTTTTCGGACTCTTTCTATGTCGCACCTCCTCACAAATTCTAACCAGGATTCTTTCTCGTCGGACGAACCTCTTGACCGCTCAAAAAGCTTGCATTCAAACGATCAATCTGCAACCAGAAGAAGAAAAATCGTATTAGATGTGGATTCGGTGAAATGACAAAACTGTCGAATTGCGATTTCTCGCAAATTTTGCTCAAGCATACAATTACATAAAAAAAAGTTCACAAATTTGTTTAGAACAACTCTGTTCTTTACACGTCTTTATTATCTATTCGATACAACCAAATAATGAAGAAAACTCATTTTGATAAGCGCGGAAAAAATAATTTAAAGAGTTCACACCACACGTCACATGTACGATTACTTAATCTCTGCCTCTTGAGAAATGTTCAGAAAAGTCAATCACCTTTCTTTATTTATCTGTAAGACCAAATAACAAGATAAAAGAAACGCAATTGGTTAAAAGTATACGTAATAGGAGCAACGTTATTCGAAACTTACAGTATATAAAATGTGAAGCTTTACGACATCAAGTTTGTATTATATAGAATTAGTTCACCGTTGACGTAATACATTCAAACAATCAAAGTTACGAAATCTCTAGACGGTCGCGCACTCAGTGGATAAAGCGTGATACGTGTTGAAAAAAAGAAGTACACGCGAGAGCAAATGTGAAAGCTGCTCTCCTCCGTTCATCGTGCAATCGTAGAGCGCGTTTATCGATTCTATCTCCAAGAATTTGCAAGTAGGTCTCAGATGTCTAGGTCAGACGAATAGCCAGAAAATAATGTTGGCAAAAAAAAGAAATTTTGTTTCTATTTTGTTGATACAATAAATAAAATTGTAATAAATATGATAAGAATAATGCGTATTCATACCAAGAATTTTACCAAAAAGATGTTCCATCAGTAAAATCAGTTCTATAAATGTAAAAATTTGCATTAGCGTCATTTCTCACTTTCAAATAAATTGATTATTACATATTATTTTATCTTTTTTTACTTATATTTTTAAACAATAAAAAGTTTGCCAAATTTTGGGCCTTTCTAATGCATAACATCTTCGCCACTACGTTTTTTTTTTTGTTTTTCATCGATCGAACCAACCGGACCGGCCGCTCCATTAGAGGTAAACCCCTTTCTCTCGCGGTTGACTGCGAAATAAGCCGTCTGAGACACCCTGTAGCCAGCATCCTCTCACTTTCATCGGTGCCCGACTTTCCTCATTTCCCTCGCGTTCCATTCCACGGGCTATCGCACCGGTGCGGTTTTCACTGACAAGCGCGAGCAGGAGTTTGTGCACTAGAACGCCACTAGAGCTGGATGTGTGACGACGAAGACGCGTTCTCACTTTCGCTTTGAGATTTCTTCGCTATTATACACTGACTTGCACGGTCGAAAATATTATTCCCGGCGCAAATCTGCGTAAATTAAAATAAGGGCGAATAATTAATACGCTACTTTGGAGGAATTTATGTAGAAGTTTAATCATATACTCTATTTTTTAAGCTATTTAAATTTATTTAGTTATTTGAATTATTTAAATTTTTAAAATGTTTAATGTGAACATACTACTTTAAAATACATTAGTGTATTAAGACAATATTAATTAAAAATTGCATAATTTTCAAATATAAAGAGATTTTCTTATGTCTGACCATAACGTCTTTTTCTACTGCCAAACAAAAAACGTCGTTGTTTTCATTTCCGCGCTATTAATTTCATTAACAATAAAAGAAACAATGAATCGGAGGGTAAAATGTTTGCGAAATTAATAGATATTGCTATTTTCAGCTGCAAAATTTGCTAGAACAGATACTCGCGTTATGATCGGCCGGCAACACTGAATAAACAGCGCGGAAATTGCGGAATATCGTCCCATACGTTAGCGAACGAATTTTATATCATCATTAATGGCTTAACGGCACATGGTGGCTGACCCCTAAAATCCTGTCTAAGAATACGAATCTGTTTACGATGCTACGATGCTGTTTCTACGCCATTGACCCTATAACATTCACCATTCACCAGACTGCACCATGTGAGCGTGAAATTTAGGATGAAGTTCGTAGCCCTCTTGAAAACAGATGCAGACTTGGCGCCTGCGTTAATCAGCACTCGTTTTATCACATCTTAGAACTTATAAAATTAGTAAAAGAACGGCCATCTCTCTTCTTATATCTTTGAATAAAAATCAAATAAATAAATTCCACAATACTTATGTATAAAGGCTTTAATGATATAAATCAACACAAAGAAAATAAAAAGCAAAACAAGCCGAGCTAATTGTTATTACATATATTTGATTTTCTTTGATAGTAACACAAACGTTATTGCCTATATCAGGCCTTCTTGAGTGTAATAACTTCATAAATTAAAATCGCATTGTCATAAATTATAAAATTGTGTCGTACGCATCCTTAATTAATTCAGCAACGCAAAATAATTTGAAAAGTCTTGATAAAAAGTTATGTCCAAATAGTTGTATTTCATATTCATGATAATTGAAAAATTGGAAAAATCGTAATTGAGCCGTTAGTATTGTAGGATAGTTGAATAAATAACAAAAATGTAGAAAATTACAAACAATGAAAAAAAATTAAACAAAAAGAATTGAAATTTGTAATACATATTTGTAATACGTAAACACAATAATGTCCAAATCAATTGGAAGAGTAAGAGACCATATTGCCAATTTAATGAATTGTGAGAAACAATTTTTTATAATTGTATAGTCACTGGTTAAAATATGTGTTGTAATGTGTTGTCGGTAGCTAAGATGTTAATGTGCGTTGAATAAAGTGAAGAGCATCAGTAGAGATATGGTAAGAAAAGAGAAGGAAAAGTAAAGTAGAGGGAGTTGTAATACATGTATAAGAACGGAAAAGGAAGGACTAAGAAATTCAGAGAGGAGGAAATAGATTTAAAATGGGAAGATATTTATCCGATAAAGCATCCATGTCACTCTGTTTGTTTAAACTTATTTTTTGTCGTTTAACATTTCGGAAATAAGTCTTTTATTATAAGACTGTTCTTCATCTAGAATCTGAATATTTTCCCAATCGAAATCGTGGTCGGAGTTTAACCTATGTCGAGAAATAACCGAAGGTGAACTACTTCTTTTTATATCGGATGTACGTTCTTATTTTGCGTTGCCGAATTAATTAAGGATGTGTACGACACAATTTTATAATTTATGACAGTGCGATTTTTATGTATTAAGTTATTATTACACTAAAGAAGGTCTGACATAGACAGAAACGTTTATGTATACAATCTATTAAAAAAAGTCAAATATATGTATAATAATAACAATCAACTCGGCTCGTTTTGCCTTTTACTTTCTTTGTGTTGAAATAAATTCCATTTAATTATTTTCCTTCATTACTGACAGTCCAAATACAACTGGGAATAATTAGAAATTTTGATATAACGTTGTACATCAATTACAGTGTCGTAGAACTTTATAATATTTGAAATGTGTATAATTACACTGTCATTTCATATATCTTGATTAAAATTATATATTTCTCATGCATTAATTTCTCTCTAATCCCTTCGTTTTAAACGCTAATTGACTTTTTTCTGCCGATAAAGAGATTAAAAATTGTTATTTTCATTTTCATGTCGCGCTTTCCTTACAATGGAGTCGAAGTAGCAACCTCGCAACGAGAACGAAATCGAAAGGACCGAAACGTCGTCGACTCTCTCGTCGCTTTGAACGGTCGCTCGTGATGGCGAAATTCTGCGAGAGCGCGTTTTTGTCGATCGTAAATCCTTTTCGGACAAGTCACCGCCTCCATCCCACCGTTCGCCATCCAAAGTGAAAATCTTCTGCAGAACCAGCTCCGACTCACAAATATCTCACGAGTGAATCAGCCGCAAGAATCAGGCAGAGTCGTGTGTATCAGCAATTTCAGTCGCTTAAAACGATTTTTTGCAGCTTTTAAAGAGAAAAAATTTCCAAAAATAATAATAATATCCATAAATCATTAAAAAAAATTGTAAATTTTTTCTGAAAATCTTTGATTGCTGTTTAATTCCCTTTTTGTTCCTATGCTGCAAAATCGTACGAATTAATAAGTATTTTCTCTATTTATAGATCTGCATATTTTACGACAATATATTAATTGTAATAAATTATAATATTAATATTATAATTAAAACAATGAAGAAATATACACACATTATGCTTTTTAATCCTTAAATTACTACGTTTTCATTTATTACGTAAAACTTTGCGTGCTACAACAATAAAAACAGCAGGATAAAATTCAGATAAATACATAGTGGTGCTCTTTATACTTTCAAATAACTACACGCTATCCGGTGTGTCCTCCAGAACGTCGGCGTCAGTCATTTACACACAGCGCGTCGAGCTCCGTACACATAGCGGCCTCCGTATGAAAACGTGACTTCGTCTACGATTCCCCCGAGTTAGAACCAGGTGCGATGACGCAACTATACAGGGAAGAAATTTCCGGTAATAAATTGCTCCTGGTATGTCGGCCCGTAGGCTTGAATGGAGACTCGAATATCCCGCAGCCGTTTCCAGGGAAGCCCACGTACGCGCAAATGGACAGCGACAATAAAGATATCCGCGGAAAACAGATATCGCCCGTCGGTCTCGGAATCGATGCGCGGAATGCACAACGTCGAGTGGTGTATTTTCGTGACACGTGCCACGAAATTCGATCGGTCGACCCGATTAAATCACAGAGAGCGACGAGAACCGCCGAGTGAGCGCTGATGTTTATTGTACGCGCTACAGAAAATAAGATATCTCTGCGTTTCACGAAGGACCAGCGGAATAGTTTACGTTAATCGTTAACGACGCTTTTAACTGCACTTCCGACAGCATTCGGCGGGGCATTAAAATCCGTAGCGAGTAGGCGAGCGAGCGAATGCAACTCCCGCATGCTGCTGCAACTCCATTTTTCTCTCCGCCACACCGGTGCTACAGTGCGCACCAGTGAGTGCATCGGCAGTATTATGCGTGTACACACCGACACGCGCCGCACGTGGCCGCGCGTGTGCGTCTCTCTCCTTCTTTCTCTTTTTATCTCTCTTTCCCTTTCTCTCTTTTTCTCTGTTAAGTTCCAACGTCA